AATTTCAAGATGAAGAAAATGCTACAAATTGACGTGGATGTTCTCTATTGAGCCCTGGCCAACACTTCTGTTGCTGTCTATTGTCTCACAAGGAAGGGTCACAAAGTCGAAGTGGCCAATTACCACAAATTGCATACATAATGTTGGTGAGAACTTGGAGAGCTGATCCCGTTCTGCCATTCCGCTTCAGGAAAGGAAATCATACATTTTTTGAGGCGAAAAAATGAATCATTTCCGGCATAAAAGCAATCATCACAGCCTTTTTAAACGTCACCTGGAGCAATAGAAAATACTACCACACCTAATATTCCAAATCAGCGACTATAACAATGAAAAATGTACATCAATGAAGTACAAATTGTTGTTTCTCAGAATGTAATCAAAGCATGTGAAAAAGTGAGCGTGCGTACTGTGAAGCAATAAGCAACAATAATACATAGTATTGAGTTGATTCATAATTAATGCACTTTTTTTGTCACCTCTTTTCCAAGCTGATTTTTCAAAGAAACTGATTCTTTCCAAAAAAACTTTGAAGCTATCTGAAAGAGGGTTTCTTCTAGTTTCTCGTATATCCTTTCTTTTTCGTGGCGCTTTGTGTGATACCAAATTCCACGCTTTGGAATATGAGGGACTAAAACTTGAAATTCTTTCTTTTTATTTTTTCGCTTTAATTCCATAAGAACAAAAGATGCCGATTTCAAAAAATATGCTCAACAATTGCTAAGCTTTTTGCTATAGAATTTTCTATAAAGCAAAATTTTGCAAAAATTCTGAGATTAGAGATTCAATCACAAACTTGGCCGGTCATTGTGGCCTTTCGAAATCGTATCCAACTATGAAACAAGAACCAGTTGCTGAGATTTTGCTTTGTACACAAAGAATAGACATCGCACATTGAGCGATAGAAAAACGGTGAGATTTTACAGCTTTTCATAAAGTAGCGAACGATTTGAAAATTCTCAAAAAAAAGACAATTTTTAGCTCTGTTGAAAAAGCTAGGAAAAGTTATCACTTTTAAAATTTTTCCAGTAACTCGTCGTAAAAAATACTGTAAAATCCGGGTTTTTTGACAGCACTCTCTTAACCATTGGCTACGCAATGAGCAAAGTTTGCGCCTTTCTACTACCTTTAAGAGTAAGTTATGCTTTCAAAATAGAGGTTCTTAAAAAAAATTCTTGGATTTTTCGGATTCTACAAACTTTCTCGTCACATTTGTCTATAAGTAAAAGCATGTACTGTAAAGCTAAAGATTTGCTCTTTGCAACAGTCCTTATTGCTCTTGAAAAGATGATTTGGGAAAAGAACTACGGCACTTTGAAGATGAATTTCAAAAAACGTGCATTAATTATGAATCAACCTAATACAAGAAGACAAGCAATAATCAAGATAAAACGAAAACCACCAAGCAAAAGATCATACCCAAAAAAATAAAGTTATCAAAGACATATGTTGATCAAGTCATACAATTATGTATGATAGAACAACAATCACAATTGCTTCTGAAAAACTACTGTTAAGCCTAGGATAAACATGAGCTGTGGGAACTACAGATGATTGGCAGTGTGGGGTTATTTGCTCCATTACAAGTAGTCCATAGAGTTCGTATACTATAGTATACTATATGTCTATAGTTCGTGTCCTACTTTTGAAAAGCGCATTGTAGCATAAAGCCGGGAGTTTCCTAGAGCTGGAGGGCGAATACCATAGATATGCTGGAGCACTGTTCGATGGAAAAAACGGGGCTTACAAAAGGATTCCTTATGACTACACAGCGCGTACTACTGCGCTCATAGAACAGTTTAAAATATTTAGTGTCTAGCTAAATTCTTCTTTACCGGTGCTACTGGAGAGCCGATCCAGTCTTCCGCATGCACTGAAACACGGCAAAAATTTTCAGCACACTATCGAGCGCAGCAAGTTTTCGAATAATTCTGTACATATAAAAGTGGTTACTATATTGAAACATATCTCAAAGTGTGGTACGATGGGTAAACGTTATACAGTGTGTCCCAAAAAGATGTGAACGCCGTTTGATCGTTAATGACTCTCTTGCTTTCATAGACTTTGCCAAGGATAAGGTACCATTCCATAGAGCGAGGTTGAACTTAGATTTGCAGTATGGACCACATCATATTACTCTTCATTATGTAGGATTACCCCATAAACTTCCGAGAAGGATTTTAGGAAAGTGAAAGCAATTGAGAAAAACCAAACAAGCCGGAGACTTATGTACTGGAATAACTGAAGTCGCTCATTCTGAATATGAAGTTTGCACCTTACTGTCATGCTTCTTCCATAAGTAATTCCAGGTCTAGGTAAAGACTGTTTTCCCAATGTTCATCAGAGGTGTGATTACACCACTGAAAGAACTCAAAAAACTAGTAAAAATTGTGTAGTGAAATCAGGCGCCTGAAAACCTTTCTATACAAGTTTTCAGCTTTTATGGAGCTTTTTATTTCATCAAAAGGCTTATTCCACAATGTCGCCTTATGATGAAAGTTCATACCGTAATCCCAGTAATGAAAAGTGCTTGATCCGGTTCATACTTAAAATCTAAGTTGAACCTTGCTCTACATGGTACCTCAAGCTCGGCGGAAAACATGAAAGCAAGAGAGCTATTAACAATCAAATAGTAGAGTTCACATCTTTTTGAGACACACTGCATAGCGGGGGGTTTATTCCAGAAATTTCTAAATTTTCTGAATATAACTACCGCCTTTGTGTTAAGTTCGAAGTAGTAAATGCTAAGCTTTTGTAACAAAGTTATTTGTTCACCGAATAATGATTACTGCTCAAACTTAGCTTTTAATGCAATACTAAAAGCGCGTACTATGATAAAATCTACCTCTAATCGGTAAATTTGAGTGCATAAACTTAACATCAAAGCTGTATTTGGGGCCTCAGACGTCAATTCTTGAAAGCGAACTTAAGCTTTACTTGAAAGGGGAGAGGAGTTCCTTCAAACTATCTAAACATTTATGATAAGCCTCAGTCGAACGCCTCCTAAGTCTCTGTTACATTCAGCAGTCTCTTGTGGTCTTTGAGGAAAATGTCATTTAAACTCAGATAATAAAGCATGTAGGCTCTCGGGCACCGCCTCAAACATCTGAACGCATTGATGCTACCGATACCATAACATCATAAATGAAAGTTATTCTTCCGATCAATATTAGATTGGCGTGTAGGCAGCGCATGGACATCCTATGCTTCAGAAGGATAAAAGTAAAAATTTTAAATCACTGCCACTATGGCATGAGTTGTAATCTCTGCATGCTTGCAAGACCCAAGATTAGCGTGATGATTACTATAACGCTCATATCTTTTCCAAAAAAATCCTCATCAAAAATGAGACAGATCTGGATCGGAGAAGAGCGCTATGCCATTTCTTGTCTAAACAGACTATGCGCATTATGTACAGTTTCCAAAAAAAAGCAACCACGACAGCTGATAAAGTTGCTTGGATATTATGAGATTTTTCAAATATAGATGAGTAACTGCGATTATGGAACATGGGCGAAAGCTGATTTGTTTGGGGCACATAGACGCAAAGATGAGGAGAAGTGAAATATCAAACTTTAGTGTACATCATTCATTTGCATATGCTCAACCATTATGAAAAGAAAAAAATATCTGAGCTTCCAAATACTTCCGTATCTAAATTATCCCTTGGAAATTAATGAACAACAACAACAAAAAGTTAGATATTGGATTGCAGCAGCATCGCATGTTTTACGCTGCATATTCCTGCCCATGCTGTTCCAGAAAAGAATGAAAAATTTTCTAGTTCTTGACTAGTGAAGACTGTTGACACCAAGCGTGATATATTTTGGCCTAAAGGGTAATTTCGCAATCAGCTATCTTGAATATTTCAAGCGGTAGGATTGCTCAAAAAAATTTCGAAGCAAGTGTGCATTTCACACAGGTCTATAAAGTATCAAATCATTTTCATTTTGTACTTGCATTGCATCAAACTCACTATTCAATTGTTCAAAAGAACAGCATGTAATATTCCTATACCCAAATAGCTCACAGAGTCGAATGTTGATCTAGCACTTATAGTGGCACCCGAAAGACTTTGCTGTTTCGAAAAAGCAGTTTCCATTTCACGACTTTTCGGTATTGAAAAAGAGACTGCGTTTTAGTCAATTAACTAAATCATTTATTGATGGGAGAAAAAAGGAAATGTGTTTTAAAAGAGAACCATTCTTCTGTGGATGGCTGAACCTCATTCTTTGAAAGTAACTTAATATAGAGTTAAAACCAATTTTTTCATAGGCGCTTTTAATATTCGATTTCTACAAGTCTGCTCCTTTTTTTGCTTTGTTTTATTAAACTGAAGTGACCGCAAATAGACACTTTTTGGACCATAAAAGTTAATTTTTGTCACTGGTCGCGTTTTACACTGTGATGATAGATTTCACTTCTGTAGTGCTTACAGAAATCTTAAACAGCTTTTAAGTTTTTTTTCGCACTTATCTGTCAGTCTAATGACTGTGTTCAACTCGCGTCTCGTTAAAATCCTTGGAGGAATTGCCCCTTGGGGTACTATTGAACATGCCGTTAGCAACATTTGGTTAGCAAGCAGTCCGTAAGCGCTAGAAATTGCGAGGGGCGTTTTGGGTATTTTGGCACTTTCGAAGAACACTTTTTGTCAGAGTGGTGGCAGTATTTCATTTTTAATCACTCCTGGAGAGAAATTATCTTCAAGAAAATCTGTCCCAGAGCTTGTTTTCATGTTTTTCCGAAGGCTGAGTCCACGGTGGCTTACTTCCAAGTTCATTTCCAAGAAAAAAATTGATTTTTGGGTATGTAAAGGGATGTGTCGTCTGGTCAGCAACTGCATATGCGTATTGCACACCAACTGCGCTACCTGACGACTTTTAAAATTGATACCTGCTCATTTCCAGCTTTTTGCCAAGTGTATTATGCTTCAAATATAAGCAAAAAAACTGTCTAAATCTTTATTAGCTTACGGCAAATTTAAATACAGTAATTACAATGAATACAATATAAATGACTAAACACTAAACTACAATGATACCGTCCTCCTTAACCTGAGAAGAGTTTTTAGCATCTGCTGACGAAACTGCTGTAACTGGAGAAACTTTTTTGGCTACGACTGCAACAAAAACTGGACTAGAACTTTCGGGAGCCTCAGTGCTCTCTTCAGCCTGCTGAGTAATTCTATCTCCCACAGATCGACGCTCCTTCGCATCTGGTACTTCCGCTAGAACTATTGCCACTTCTTTCTTTTGGATAATCACATCGACAGCTGGTGTTGTGATATCGGAACTGTCAGTGACGTCTTCTGGTCCAGAAGAAAGAATGCTCTGTGCGGTAGAAGAACCTAGGTGGTGCTTATATGGTCCCTGTAGATTTTCAAATTGTCCAAAATCACTCACGCTCAGCCTTTTCCTCGCTACTTGTTCCAGAACCTTTAATGGGAGGTTTTGCAAAAACAATAGCAACAAAAGCGAAAATGAACAGAATAGTGTGATTCATGGTGAACTGACTTCTTTTAGAGCGGTAATCTTCTCTTATACTGTCCTTCAAACTCTGATCAGTTCGTGACCTCCACAGAAAGTGACAACATGTTGTTTGTTCGTATTTTCAGCATTACTAAAGAGGTCGCATACGTCATTTAGCGAGAAAAAATCGAGAGAGAAGTTATTATCGATGTTCTGTTGAAATTTGAAAACCTGTTCGGAATAAATTAAATCTATGCTCTCTTTTCAGTAAAGAAGGTTAAAAACTGTAAGTCGCTAGGATCCTTGATAAAATTTTTAAATTCGATCTAACAAGGGAAGTCACTTAACTTAGGTCGGGCTTTTGAAATGAGACACATATGGTTGGAATCAGCTTGAAACGCTGATTTCAAATCTGCTTTCCTTAGCTGCGAAGCGTTCCTCTGAAGCGAGTTATGAGCTTTTTCCTGAGCAAATTTTGCGTGTTGACCAACTTAGGCATGCAACGGTATCATTATCTAGGTAGTGGATCAAATGCATATTATACCCTATCAAAGCCAAATGACTCAATTCGTTGTTATTTTGATTTTTCATCACTTTTTGGGCAGATTTTCATCCAAAGACCTTCTTTCCATATTCAGTTGTATGTCAGTGACACATAATAAAAAAGCTCATAACTGGCTTCAAAAAATCGCTTCGCAGCTAGGGATAGCATATTTGGAATCAGCGTTCCGAGCTGATTCTAAATATATGTGTCTCATTTCAAAAGCCCGACCTAAGTTAAGTGACTTCCCTTGTAAGCTTTTTCTTTCTTACAATATCAGAAGTGCCTAGTTGTGACTAAATTAAGTTGGGTTTTCTGAGGATTACCATGCAGCATATTTGGTTTTTTTAGATTAGATAACGAAGAGACTTTTTTCTCTTGATTGGGTCCTAGCAACTTCAAAATTTGTCAGCGTTCTGGCTTATTAACCTAATCCTGAAAACAAAAAATGTTTTTTGTTTTCTAACTGTAGACTTTTTTTTGCGGAAAAATGTGAGTTACGCATTGTGCATGAAATCAGATTATAGTGTAGAAACGCTTACTTTTTTTCTGGTACTGATGCTAAATATCCAAGGATGTGACGTAAGCCTCTGCAAGTTTGCAAACGCCTGGATATTTATTTATGACTCTCGAAAAATTTCTCGTGACAATATATATAAATGGGTGAAGTATTTGCTGAATATCATCGCTCATAGGTATATATGTTACATTACGAGCACATAATAAAATATATTTATTTTTATATTGTATAGACCATATGAGGAGATTTTTCAATTGTTTGCTGCAATAGCTCATGAAGAATTGCGAATAAACAGAAAAAAGTGTAGCCTTTAACTGTCATCTGCAAAAAGGATAAAAATGTTGGAAAATTTGATCTTATATATAAAGCTGAATGTCTGTTTGTCTGTATGTCTGTCTGTATGTCTGTCTGTCTGTCTGTGTGTGTGTACGTATGTTCCGAATAGAAAATTCCATTTCTGAACCGATCCGGACCAAACTTGGCACACATACACTACGGGCCCCGGCGGGTGTCATAGGCTACTTTTCGTCATCGATCGATATCGATTTTATTGATTTTTATCGATTTTTTTGCTGAGTTCACCTACGGGGCTGGGAGTTGGCACAGGGGGGTAATGGAGCATGGGGATTCCGAATACAATATTGGTTTTCAGGATTATCGATTACTTCTATCGATTTTATCGATTTTTTGCAAAGTTTGAGCTACGGGGCTGGGAGTTCGCACAGGGGGGTAATCGAGCATGGGGATTCCGAATACAATATTGGTTTTCGGGATTATCGATTACTTTTATCGATTTTATCGATTTTTTTGCAAAGTTTGAGCTAGGGGGCTGGGAGTTGGCACAGGGGGGTAATCGAGCATGCTGATCATCCCCAAGGGGGGTGATCAGCATGCTCGATTACACCCCTGTGCCAAATTCCAGCCCCCTAGCTCAAATTTTGCAAAAAATCGGTAAAATCGACATCGATCGATAACGAAAAGTGGACTGTGACACCCGCCGGGGCTCGAAGTGTATGTGTGCCAAGTTTGGTCCGAATACGGCGGAGCCGGGTAAGCCAGCTAGTCTCTGATAATATCGGTGTTCCAAAAAATCTGTAGTAAGAGCATTCCTGCATCCTTCCTAGCAAGATTGTCACTCAGCCAAGAAAAACTTAATTTTGTCTCAGCATCATTCTAGCTACAGTTTGATCTGAATTCAAAAAGTGTTAGGCGGATAGCGGATGCCTAATCTTTTGTTATGTAAACAGTCACATGTGTAAGGTAAGTCAGATTTTACTGTGAAACGGGATTGTGTACGGCGCAAAGCTGACAATAGGTGAAGGCAATGCTTATTTTAGAAAAAAACGATACTCGTGTGTACGAAAGTTTCTGGATTTACAATGGGTCTTATGAATTTTTTTAGAATTTTACTTGAACAAAAAAAGCGCAACTGGTTTTTTGTAGATGCCTTGAAACTGTGATCAGGAAAACGTTGCATACGTGGACATTGGGAAGTTATATCTCCAAATACAGATCTATAGTCCATTCATTCGCAATTTACGTGCAACTGCACACACCGCGCATAGTGCGCGCTTTACATATTAAATTGCGTGCATACAGCTTTGGTACAAAATCTTAATAAATTTTTTCTCTATGTCTGGAATAAATAAAAAGTAAGAACAAGAGAAGCATTTGGCCGGAAAAGATGTGCTCCATCTCACTCAAATGATGGGAACGCAAATTGAACGCGCAGTGTATGCGTTGTGTGCATTCGCACTTGTAGGACAAGAAAAGGCTAAACTGTAGGTCTGAGGGCAATAATTTGCTATTTCAACTACCAGCTATCTTTCGCTTTAATTTTTCTATCAGAGGCTCAAATAGCATTAGAATGATAATTTCAGCACCAAGATTTGCTCTTACGACAAATTTACAAATACGAATTAGTACAAATTCAAAATGATAATGTGTAAACTTATTCCATTTTGGGATTTTGAACGTTTGGCTCCTTAAAACTAGAAGAAGCAAAATGAGATGGACATTCAATGAGACTCAAGTCCCATTCAGTATCAATGGGAACATCTACAATCGATGTCAACCAAGGCTCTCTTTTCCGTAGCAGTTACGCGTCCGCACCGCAAGAGCATGGCGGGGTGACTCCTATCGATGAGGCGAGTGTTGAATGCGCAAGCTATAGCGCGCGAACGCGGCGCGAAATTCTGCGGTTGCGATCTGGCCAGTAAAAGAGAAGAGCATAAGGTTGACACGCACTGTAGTTTTGTGACCGACTAAAATCAATAGGCATGCGCTGCTCAGACCTGAAAATCGGCTATTCCACAACCGCATCGTTCACGAATGTCAGCTTCATTCTTTATGACAAAACCTTGTTCCGAATGTGTATTGATTCGTTTCTCCCAACTTACATCCACCATAGCCAATAATGCTGCACCGTATAAGATTTATTTACATGTGCCGTCAAGTTGCTGACCACGCACGAACAGGCCTTAGATTGCCGAGCACGCGCCGCGCAGCCAAACGCTTGTACCAGTAAAATCACTATTGTACAAGTCGTGCTCCTGTGACATTTCAGACGCTCCTGGCGTGCTTCGCAATCTCCGGACAGTCCGATTCGACAATATACAACCTCTCCTAATCCCAATCAGGTCAAAATTGACATGGCGGGAGTCCACGTCGCTAGGGTTAAAGGCAGTGGCTCGGCAAATCTCAACCTAATCAAATTTTTGCTTACCTGGGGTTATTCAACACGCTGATCCCGAAAATCCACTTCTGCGAGCTTGAAAACGGCGAAAACGAGCGTTTTCAATGCCCTTTCCTTCGGAATTGGACGAGTGGAGCAAGACTGATGGTGCTGGATCGTTGCGGGACCCAATGGTTATTGCATTGCGGCGGGCAGCCTCCAATGATGAGAAGGAAATTGCCAACTCGTCCGGGAGCGTGTAAGATTGGCCTACGCGTGTAGGTTTGAGAGCTATTTTCTCGGCAGGAAAGGCATGCTGTACAACCAGGGCACTGTTTTCATACTTGGGTGATAACGAACCTATGCGTTAAAATCCTGAGTCGTTGAGTTTTGCCGATCCACTGCCTTTAAGTGTCACGTCTACCACTCGCTTGTCTGTTTGCTCTTCAATCTCTTCGCTCTACAATGCGCATACGCGGCGCAAAACTCTAGCGCTACGAGCGCGCAAATTCACGCCAACTGTTCGACCTGATCCCGATTGGAACAGGCTATAGCAGTGGCGGACCGAAGTGGGAGGAGGGGCGCACCTTGACAATGGGTCGCGAAATTTCTGAAAATCACTTGAATGGGTTATGAATATACGCAAGTGAGTCTTATAAAATCAAATCGGCCTTGCACAAAAGTTTCAGAGGGTGGCTTTGAGGTTATGGCTGCGAAAATTTGGAAATACTGTAAAAATCTTGGAGGAAATCTTTGTCCCCCCCCCTCCCCCCGCAACGACAATTCTAGGGCCTTTACTGGTACATAGCGCGTATATAGATGTACTTAGTATTCCTGTTCATAGATATATGTAAAGTGCCTCAAGAGTATGTATCATCTATGACTGAGAGACATGAGCACGCTTTGCCTACGTCTGATCAACAAGTTCATGAGTGCGTTTACAGTTTAAATATCAGGAAATCGAAAGAAATACGGGGCTCGTGATGTTGTTTAACCTTGTTCGAACGTGTTCTTTCGAAAACCAAGTAGTAAATCATCCGCAATGCGTTAGAATTCGCTTATGAACTTGTTAATCAAACGTATGCAAAGTGCGTTCGTGTTTTCAGAGAATGAATGATACACCTTAAATTGTTGTCTCCTGCACCGGTGTATCCTGCTGACCCCCCGCAAAAAGTTTCATTCTGTAGTATTGGCTTCACCTTGTATACACAGTTATTAAAGGTATCATGTATTTTTTTTCTGTGAAACCACGACTGCAAGCATAAAGACAGTCATGCAAATTTGTTAAACAGGTTGTAAAGTGGTCT